AACACTTTGAGGGACAGAGTAGCAGGACTGGGGGTCTGGGGACCATGCTTTCAGGGACATCTAGATCAATTGGCATAACAAAGCTTAGTAAGAAAATATTCTGCATCCTACTTGGTGAGTGGCATCTGGGGTCTTAAAAGCTTACAAGTGGCCATCTAAGATGCATCAATTGGTCCCAACTACCTGGAGTAAAGGAGAATGAAGAACACCAAGGACACAAGGAAAGTATTAGCCCAAGAGACAGGAAGGGCCACAAAAACCAGAGACTTCATCAGCCTAAGACCAGAAGAACTAGATGGCGCCTGGCTACCACCAATGACTGCTCTGACAGGGAACACAACAGTGAGTCCCTGATGGAGCAGGAGAAAGGTGGGGTACAGAACTCAAATTCTAGTAAAAAGACCAAACTTAATGGTCTGACTGAGACTGGAGGAATCCCAGAAAGCATAGCCCCCGGACTCTCTGTCAACCCAGAACTAAAACCATTCCCAAGGGCAACTCTTCAGACGAAGATTAGACTGAACTGTGGGACATAAAATGATACTCGTGAAGAGTGTGCTTCTTAGCTCAAGTAGATACATGAGACTAAATGGGCAGCTCCTGTCTGAAGGTGAGAACAGAAGGCAGAGAGGGTCAGGAGCTGGTGGAATGGACATGGGAAATCGAGTGGAAAAGAGGAGTGTGCTGTCACAGTATAGGGAGAGCAATTAGGGTCACATAACAATGTATGTATAAATTTTTGTATGAGAGACTAACTTGAATTGTAAACTTTCACTTAAAGTACAATAAAATAAAATAAAGTGTTACAGGCGTAATAAAAGCTTAATAATTAAGGGTGGAAATGTAGATGCCATCAAGTTGATTGTAACTCATAGCGACCTTATAGGACAGAGCAGAACTGCCCCACAGGGTTTCCAAGGAGCAGCTGGTGGATTTGAATTGCTGACCTTTTGGTTAGCAACCTGATTAAGGGCATATATGTTAAAATAAGAAGCTGGCACAATGGTTAAGCGCTAGGCTGCTAACTGAAAGACTGGTGGTTCCAATCCACCAAGGAGTTCCTCGAAAGAAAGACCTGGCAACCTGCTCCTGTAAAGATTAAAACCAAAAAACAAACCCATTGCCACTGAGTCAATTCCAACTCATAGTGACCCTGTAAGACAGAGCAGAACTACCCCACAGGGTTTCCGAGGAGTGGCTGGTGGATTAAAATTGCCCACCTTTTTGGTTAGCAGCCGAGCTCTTAACTACTGCACCATCAGGGCTCCCCTGTAAAGATTACAGCCTAGAAAACCCCATGGGGCTGTTCTACTGTCACATCGGAGCACTATGAGTCGAAATAGACTCAACAGCACCTAACAACAATTGTTAAAATAATAAAAATTGTCATCTGGAAAAAATAAAAAATATTACTTTAAAGAGACCATTTTAACTTGAATTTTCTGTTCATCCTTGGTGTTTTCTATCATTCTTTGATGTTTGGTATAAAACAAGAAGTTTGTTTTTTCATACATAATTCCATTCAGATTGTCTGTTATTATCAATAGTAACAGTTCTGAACATTTAAGTTGGCTAAGCTATTAGGGTTAAGTTGCTAACGCAAGACTTTTAGTCTTTTGTATAATATTCTTCCATCTGCATCATCAAGGGCACAAGCACTAGATTTCAGCAGAACCCTCCTCAGTTTCCACAGTCATAACCTTCATTTTTCAATCCACCAATTTCACAAGTTGCTACCTGACTTTGATATTTTCCTGGTAAGAGCTGGACGTTTATCAAATTCTATACAATAACAGTACAATAACAACAACATCAGAGTATCAGTGTCCTTCTCAAAAGATCTAGGATTCCTGGTGGCGCGCTGGTTAAAGGATTTGGCTGCTAACCAAAAGGTTGGCCATTCAAACCCACCAGCTGCTCTGCAGGAGAATGATGAGGCAGTCTGCTTCTGTAAAGATTTACAGACTTAGAAACCCTATGGGGCAGTTCTGCTCTGTCCTATAGGGTTGCTAGGAGTTCAAATCAACTCGACAGCAGTGGGTTTTTTGGTTTGGTCTCAAAAGATCTATATTTTTATTTACTCTTCCTGATTTTGAAATGGGCAGGCTAGGAGGAGGTTGGATACAGCAGGAGTACCATTCTGAGCCTACCCTGTGTTCATCCTATATTTATTTCAGTTCTACTAGGGTAGATCTATTGAACTGATGGCCATACTTGGTGTCTATTTTCATGGACACTCTGGATTCTGCTCAGAATAAATTCACTTTAAGGGAAAAAAGAACTAAAGCTTGGTTTAAGGAGAGCCAACACCAGTTACCATCAAGTCAATTCCAACTCATGGCAGCCCAGTGTGTCAGAATACAACTGTGCTCCACAGGATTTTCAATGGCTGATTTTTCAGAAGTAGACTGCCCGGCCTTTCTTTCAAGGCACCTCTGGGTGAACTCAAACCTCCAACCTTTCAGTTAGCAGCTGAGCCCATTAGCCTTTTGCAATACCCAGAGACCCCAAGGAGAACAATATTCCTCTTTAAACCAAATGGTGATGCTGATATGCTGTGACAAGTGCCCTGGCAGCACTGCTAAGGGCAACAGTGGTAGCTGTGATTTCAGGATCAGACATTAGCAGCCTCAACACAAATGGCTTCAGTAGCATACAGCCTTTAATGGCACTTTTGACAGCAGTAGCAACAAGAGAGACATACAAATAATAACTACCAATTATTAAACACCTATTATGTTCCAGGCATTTTATTAAGAACTTCACATAGGTAGCTCCTTAAATCTGTAAATACTATAAAATGTGTATTATTATCCTAGATTTAAAGATCAGTAACTTGCCCAAGGTTTAAGACAGCATATGAGTAGTACAGTTAAGATCTGAACCCAGGTGTCTGGTTCCAAAGTTTATGCTTCTTCCAAATGTAAAGGTCAAAGAAAACTGCCACCAAGAGAATGGATTTTCAGGGTCGACGTCAAATACCTCCTGGAAATTTCCAGAATTGTTTAGAAATGACTTGAAGAGAGCTAGAAATCCCACAGAATATATTTTGGGAATGGCCAGAAATTTTATACCTATTAGTATTAAACTTTAGCTCAGATTGGAATAAAGTCTGAAAAATGCTGACAATTCAAGATTTTCACAGAATCTTCACAATAGTACTATTTCCCATAACAGCATGAATGTGCTTTGATGTCATTTGAATTCCATGGCAATGATACATCATCATAATTCACTTTTTTTTTTTAAATTATTGTACTTTAGATGAAGGTTTACAGAACAAACTAGCTTCTCATTAAACAATTAGTACACAAATTGTTTTGTGACATTGGTTACCAACCCCACAACATGTCAACACTCTCCCTACTCAACCTTGGGCTCCCTATTACCAGCTTTCCTGTCTCCTCCTGCCTTCTCGTCCTTGCCCCTGGGCTGCTGTGCCCCCTTAGTCTCATTTTGTTTTATGGGCCTGTCTAATCTTTGGCTGAAGGGTGAACCTCAGGAGTGACTTCATTACTGAGCTAAAAGGGTGTCTGTAGGCCATACTCCCGGAGTTTCTCCCGTCTCTGTCATAAGTTACTTTTCTTAAGTATCTTCAATAATAATATTTTCCTTTGTATAATATTGTATGGGTACAAAGAATTCCCACATATGAGATACAGAGAGATAATACAACAATTCTGTGAGGAAGAAAGGATATTCTAAATCACTTCTCTTTTAACAACTCAGGAAACTGAAGAGCAAGGTTAAATAACATGAATATTAACCCAAGTGCACAAAATTCATTATATGTTGAACTAAGCACTGAGTATAAAGGCAAATAAGACATGATACCTCTCCTTAAGGAGCTCATGGTCTAGCATAGGTGGCCAAAACAAACCCCTACAATGTATTTCTAATATATCCAACTTTACATTAAATGTTGTAACCAGATAATGCCACTGAAACTCTCATTTTCTTCAACAAACTTAGAAAGAGATCTAATAAAAGCATAAAGTTAAAACTGTCACTGATAATTCACACTAAGTAAAACAAAACTAGGTGAAAAACATAAAATATCTGCCAAAAGGAGAAAAATTCAGAAGTTCATAAGAAATAGAGTTTATAAAAATAAAATGTGTTAGAAGTGTAAGAAATTAGTAGTAGATCTTTAAAAAGGTAACTATAAATACTCTTTAATGTAACTAGGCTTATGAGAGAAATACAAACCAGAAGATTCCTTTGGATGGTTCAGGAGAAAAAAAATTAAGATCATTTTTCACTCAGATCAAAACTCTTTATTCTACAGACTGAAAGTAGAAAAATAAAAAGAGAAGCTTCAGGAGTTCATGAGAAATGAAAGTTAAATGAGTTAAAAGATCTAGTGGTATTTACTAACTAACCAACCCGACTCTTTTCCACAGATTACTGATTACTTCTGTCACCCACAGGGGCCTCTCCTAGAGCTTAAAACAAAGGAAACTTTATAATTATGCATTTCTCTTACTGACACGGTAGGCTGTGTTTGTTAACGAAATTCAGCTGTATCAAATCATGTTTGTGTGAAATGCATTCAGTTATTCATGCAATAATTATTTAGTGAGTACTGTCAGGCAGAGTTTTAGAAACTGGAGGTAAAACAGTGAACAAGACAAGATGGATGGTTGGACAGACGAACAGATGGATGGACAGGGCAGAGAAGATGGTTAAGAATACATCAACAGATGTCAGGAGTATGGATTTCAATTATATCAGATAAAGAAACAGGAATATTGAAATAGGTAACTAAATTTTCATTAAGAGTCCGAATCCTTTTTCCCAAAATGTAGAGTGACCAGTACTTTTTGAAACTGTTACTAGCAATGGACAGCCATGCCAGCCACCAAAGGAGAAAATCCATAGCAGCCATCAGAGCACATTTACCTCACATTTAGCAATAACATATCTGGGGGGAAATAATGGGGAGGGCTCATGAGAGTAAGTATAATATTTATTTTGAGTAAAGTTATCACTAAACATACCTTTCAGATAAAAAACAGCTCTTGGGAGGATTTAGATTTTGACAAGATTCTAGGTTGCCATCAGGTGATGAAGAAAGTTGCTCTGATTGCAAGTTGTCTGTATCACCCATACTGTGCTCAGTTACAGGTAGGGTCTGTATGTATTTTCTTCCTAACTCCGTTCCCAGGACATTCGTCAATATAACTCTGGGTATCCTGTCACACAGAACAACAAACACTGCACTGTACTAAAGTTTTCAGTAAAAACACGTATTCTACGAGGCTGAATTTTCAAACATTTTCTTCTTAGCACAAGTAAGCTATTAGAACTGTAACACTCTAGAAATCAACCAGTAATACTCAAAAGTCTAGATAAACACATTCTTTTTTGTTTCTAGAAGTACTTGTTCCTTATAAATTGACAAAGATTAACCTACAACTACAATTAGACTTTAACAAGTAGCCAATTTTAAAACTGTACCAATGGATGCTACTGGGGTGCATAAAATTTTAACCAATTTTTCTCAAAAAACACGCTCTTTTTCTTTTCCAGTAGTTGTTCAAAATACAGGTAACTGCAAAATTAAACTGACCAATTCAAGAAAGCTTTATTATTCTCATTCAACAGAAAGTTCCTCAATAAACAATTACATACTTATAATTGGAAAATAACAAATGCTAAATCCAGCAAGGGAGATATCACTCAGACTGCATCTATAATAACGACAGATTCCTTAAATGAAAGAGTACATATACTGGTAATAGTGTATATAATTTATATAATAGTACTGGGAAAAGAGTCAATAAGTTAAATCTGTAGAAAATTAAAGTGTATTTTTAAAGCTCCAAACCTTTTTACATTGGTGGGGTTCTTATCAAATGTACTATATATTCCTGGGATCTTCTTAAACAGAAGACAGTAATATAATCTTCTCTTGGTTAAACAACAAAAAAAAAAACCTAACCCGCTGCCGTCGAGTCAGTTGTCATTCATAGTGACCCCAGGTGTTACAGAGTTGAATTGCTCCATAGGGTCTTCTTGGCTATAATCTTTACAGAAGCAGATTGCCAGGCCTTTCTTTTGCAGCACCACTTTGGCGGATTCAAACAGCTTACCTTTAGGTTAGTAAAAACAAAAAAAACAAACCCACTGCTGTCAAGTTGATTCTAACTCACAGCGACCCCACAGGGTTTCCAAAACTGTAAATTTCTATGGAAGCAGACTGTCACATCTTTCTCCGATGGAGCCACTGGTGGTTTTGAACAGTCGACCGTTCAGTTAGCAGCTGATCATTTTAAGGTTCATAGTCAAGGGCATACATTTATTATCACCTTGGTTAACCAGCTGTTATTATGAACAATAACTGGTGTATTTTGCCACACTAAATGATACCCTCAAGGCTGCTATTTGGCACTGAAATGATGAGCCTAACCCAAATTATTGTGATTTTTTAGTTCTTGTTACTGTATTTTAAAAGTTCTCCTATTTCCTCTTTATTGACTGTTATCAATATGTGACTAGCAGCACTTTACTGCCTCTTTCTGAGTAATATATACACTCAAAAAGGGTCTGAGTACTTTTAAGTGAAAGATGTGGATTTTATTGTCAGTTACATTTGTTATAGTATTTAGAGGTGCTCTTTATTTTCACTACATAGATGCACTAGGTTTCAGAATGTTCTTTTCACGAGGTTTGAGACAGTTATGAAATCACAGAATTTCAGATCTTAAGGAAAGCTATAAAATTGTTTAGTTCTTCTCTTTATTTTAAACATTGAGAACCGAAAGCTCAGGAAAGTTAAATAACTTGCCCAAGTATAAGCAGTTCTTCCTGGAAGAATGGCCTATTAGCTTTTGGCTGTTTTGTTTGTTCTATTCTATTACACTGTATCCTCAAAACTAGCTTGCCACCCAAAGGATTCCAGATAACTGAGCTTCTCCTCATATACTTCAAGAAATCTTTAAAAATATCCATTTCTAGCACTATCACCATAAAAAGGCATTGCAGTGATTAGATAATACATCTGATCTACAAACAAAGCTAGTATTAAATATAGCTCCCTGAACTTAAGAGTTCAGAAGAGAAGAAGGGAAAGAAGTCTGCCACCTAGTGCATCCTCTAATTGTGTGTGAGGGAAGAGCAGAGATACTTTTCCTCCTCCTTGCAACACTTAAATCTCTCAGGATCCTATTTATTACTGTCTCCCTTGTATCCTTGACCCCTGACAAAACTCTCCTTGAAGAAACTGGATCAGAAGTGGGAATACGGGCAACATAAGACCAATAAGGAATCTTAAGATTTCTGTTATCTTACCTCACACTAGGTATCACTATAAAACGAACTGCTAAAGAAAACTCAACTGTGGTTCTCAATACTTTAGGAAGAGTATTAGCAGAATTTCATTCATGTTAGACCCATTTTTTTCAGATAAATGTTTTAGTATAAATAAAATGTTATTTTTAAGCGCTGAAAGACTGACTAAACTGAGAACTCATTTTTAAGAATTAACAATATACTCTTCTTATGAGCGTCTGTAGGTGGTGCAAATGGTTAAGCACTCGCTTACGAAGGTCCCTAGGTGGTACAAACAATCCGCACTTAACTGCTAACCTACAGGCTGGCAATTTAAACTCTCCCAGGGGTACTGTGAAAGAAAGGCCTGCAGCTCTGCTTCCGTTAAGGTTACAACCAAGAAAACCCTATGGAGCAGTTATGCTCTGTAACACATGGGGTCACCATGAGTCAGAACTGACTCGACAACAACGGGTTTGTTTGTTTTTGTTTACCAACCCAAAGGTTGGTGATTCGAATCCACGAGGTGGGCATCTCAAAAGAAAGGTCTTGCAATCTACTTCAGAAAGATCACAGCCACTGAAACCCTATGTGCAGATCTGCTCTGAAGCACTTGAGGTCACCATGAGTCAGAATCAACTCAATGGCAACTGGTTTAGTTCTTACTTTTTATGGTATCCCTACTGAATTCGGAAATGTTGCTCATGATAAAAATAATCCAAAAATCTGCAATATCTGAGTAGAGTGAAAATTTGGGGGCATATAAGGAGACACATTAACGAAATGTCAACTATCATTCAGTATCTCTGTTTAAATGCCTATTACATATTTAAATGTTTAAAATGTTAGGTCCCTAAAAAAGGATGTCTCTTGAAAACAGGAGTTGGAGTTCATAGATTACTCCTGTACAAAGTGTTAAAGACAATATTTGACAAAAAGGCAGTACAAATATCAGCAAGAAAAGAGAAAATTTGTTAAGGTCTGACCATATTCCTGTATGGTTTGTTTTTCTGCTGGATTCTGAAGAGAGAAAAAGCAAAAACTAGAAATAAAAAAAAATAACTTGGGAGAATAAGTGAGACTGTTTAAGTTAAAAACGTTTCCTAACAGAAAAATTTCAAAATGTTTTAATTCAACCAAAACCATTTGACAAGGAGATTTGACAAACCAAGCTGTACTAGAAACTGCATCCCTAAAGCACCAGAGCCTTCCAGGGCTTTTAAAGCTATCAAAAAGTTCAGGGAATTATCACAGTATGTCTACCATAGTACCTTTCAATTAGGAAGCATTCTGTTACTATGTGACAAATGTCACAGGGAAAAAAATTGAAGAGGAAGTAGAAGTTTAATGAATAAGGATATATTCTTTCAATAATGAATCATACATATCTAGGTCATAGAGTACCATGAAATTTTAGAACTAGAAGGGATTAAAAATAAAGTCCAATTCCTAATCTACTGATGAGAAAAAATTAAAGTTCACAAGAGTGAAAATATAAACAAAAAAACAAAATAAGAAGAAATAAGCTGCTGAGAAAAAAAAGAGAAGCAGTACAGTTAAGAACAAGGACTTTGGAGTCAGACAAACATAGGCTCAGATTCTGATTTCAGCACCTAAAAGCTATATAACCTTGGGCAAGTTACTATAATTTCTGTCTCTTACCCTTTACCTCATCTCTCAAATGGGGAGAAGAAGATCTACCATGTGGAGTTGTTAGGACTAAATAACAGATGTAAAAGAGCACAATTCTTGGCACACAGTAAGTACACAATAAATAGAAATCCACTTTAACTTTTATGTTTTTCAAATCTTGCTGAAAATTATGAACTGTTCTTTCAAATACAGTGATTATTATGCTCTGCAATCTTGATGAAAATAATAGTCTATTAGAAAAGTTTATAACTGAATAGTTAGCAATGTCTATAGGATGCCCAGCTCCTCATAAGACAAAGCCATAGCTAGAACACCTTTTATTACTTCCAACTTATTCAACTGGAGTACATAAAGGAAGCACAGAACTCTGTGTGACAGTCTTACAGAACACAAATCTATAAAGTGATAGGTAAGTTCATAATACCTAAATTGTCTTTTGGAGTACAACTACATAAATTAGCACTGCCATGGAAATTCCAGAGCTAGCCAGAATTTCAAATGATTCTGAATTTTCACAATGAACATATGAAGCTATATATTTCACCTCTCATACTATCTTAATCTGGAAGGAAAGACTAAAGTTGTCATTTCACATAGCCTAACCAATCTGTTTTGCCTAAGTATTTAAACAATAGCAATAAGTAAAATAGAACTTGTTTAACTTTACTAACATTATGAAATCACACTTCAGAATAAATATGCTAAACCAAAGCAGAAAAAGAGCAAAAAATATGACAACTCAGTAAAGGAATGAATTTTGAAATGCAATGAAATATAGCAGAAAGTAAACTGGCCTGAGAAGTAGTAATCATTTACTGATTTTATCTCTGCATTGTTATTCTCTCTGGCCATTAATTTTCTCAATTACAAATCGGGGGTTTCTTTCCTGCTTAAGTAGCAAGATGTCAATCCCTCTCACTGAGTTTAACACAGATGCTATACTCTGAGGTTCAAGTAATTTAACAAATGATAGGAGCTTTGAGAAACTGCTAAGAGCTATTAATACACAACTTCATGTCAAGAAGACGTGAAATCTTTTTAAGAAATGAAATCCTTGTTAAAAGATAACAATCATGTGCTAAAAAAAAGCTGTAAGAAAATAAGCAAAAAATATATAATACTGATTTAGTTTTCATTTTGTTGTAATTCTAGATTAATGTCTTTGTAAAATTGTTATGTGACATTTTAAGCGAGCTCTCAAAAATTCACTCTTGTCCCAAGAGATATAATTCAAAATATACCTTTTATAATCAGTGTGTAAAGCTATATA